TTTGTAGCATTTGCCTCGTCATGGGATTTATCATCCATTGGATGATGTCCATGAATACCGAGTTCTTTCAAGAAATTATTAATACGATAAACTTTTTTTGGTTGTAAATTGTGAACATGCGATCCCGTATTGAGTTTCTGAAAACGTAGTTTTGAAGTGGGTGGAGCATTATGATTTTTGTCAGTTCTTTCATCTTCAGACTCAGAACCGGTAGTAGATGAATGTTTCGAACTTTTGGGAATTTTTGGTTTATCTGCCGCCGGTTCTATATGAAACATTTTTTGAAGAGTCGTTTGTAAAAGGTTTCCAGACTGAGAATTTGGTTTAGATTCTTTTTGTTGCGTGTGATTGAGAATTGGCTTTGTACCCTTGTCATCAGTCTTTCGATCTAAGCCACTTGTTGAAACTACTGTCTGATTGTTGTTATCTTTTAATTTTTTTAAAAAAATATATGTAAATAAGTAAAGATAAATATTTAAGCTTATAATTTGCATAAAAATATATACCGGCTTGGTCTTTTAAGTTATTATCCATTTTATCCATTAATTAAATAGTAAATCTTGGAAGTGACAGAACAGGGAATAAACTGAGGTTATTTATAGGAGTACCCAGAGACGAACTAGAGATAAAACTTTCAACACCAAATTGGGCCTTTCGGTGAGGACAAAACCTCAAAGGCCTTTTTCCAAAATATAGTGCTACCAGGGAATAACAAACACAATAATGACCTTTATTTTTTTTTATTTAGGTACAGAACTATTTGAACAGTCCTTGTAGATGAATGAGGAAGAGAAGAATGAGAAAGAGAAAAAAGTGAAGATAGTCGAAATTTGAGGGAATTTAAAAATTTTTAAAAAATAAAAAAACTGATGTAATTTATATAATTATCGTTATATATACAATAAATAATTAAGCGTGAGATTATTTTACCCATCACGTGTAGATGGCTGTTGTTTATTTGAATTACACCACATTATATGAATGCTATTTTAAAAGAATCACACTGCCCCGAATTCAAAATAAATAAATACGTAATTTAGCTGATCTTAACTAGAACTATAATATTACGTATTGTATTGTTATTAAGAATTTATATATATTATTACAATGTGTTCATGGGGTTTATCTGTTCACGTACTGTACGTACTGTACGTACTGTACATACTGTACGTAACGTAAGAATCAAATAATATTACTATAAATAGAGCTAATATGTGTTTGGTTTTTGCCAAATGAAATAATAGAACTAGGAAAACAAGTATGGCTTTACTTATTTGGATGTGGGGTAGTTGTACATTTTTGATGTCAATTAAAGATGTCCTACAAGCAAATGTTCGTTTTTGTTGTATTGTATATTATTTAAGAAATTTATTTGAAATTTATTAATACTGTATTAATACTTACATATACAAAAAAAATGATCATTGTAAAAATTTACAGGATCACAGAATTAAATAAAAGAAAATAAAAATTTCAAATTTTCCTTTTTACAGCACACAGCGCGGGGTTGCAACGGAATATCTCATTGAGAAAATTATCAATGAAGCGAATGGAACCCAATGGAGCCAATGAAATTAATGAAGAACCCAATAGAGCCCCAATGGAGTCCCAATGGGAGTCAATGGTTCCAATAGAAAAATCATAGCGGCCGATTTGATTTTTCTGGGCCTTTTTTTTTTATAAACAGTTACACGAAGTTTTGTAACGTTGGAAAAATAATGAACGAAGTACTTGTTATAACTAATAAAGAGTTTTTTGGAATCTAGACAAGATAAAAGACAAATAAATCAATAAAAAAACTATTCTAAGCTGTAAAAAGAAGTACATTTATCTTTAATTGGTTTGTAACTGTTCAAGGATATTTAATTAGAAACATAAAAGGATGGTTTGATAATCCTCAATTATGATTGGTTGATTTTGGGGTCAACCCATATGTTTAATGGTTCTAATTTCTAATATCAATATACTGATAGCTCGACCTGTTGATAAACAGGTCAAACGGATCAAATGTCAATGGCTCCATTCAGTAATGGAGTTTTTATCAGCCCACATATAAATAATTAATTTAAACAATTTTACTAAAACGCACCTATGATATTTTACCACCTATGTTGCATAATCTTAAAAAAATCAATATGCGATTTTCTAAGTAAAAATGCTTTACGTTCCCAAAAACCTTCCTAAAATTTAATTATAACACTAAATACTAATCTCAACATGAAAAATTTGTGCTAAAAAATTTCATATATAAAAACATAAAAAAAATATAATAAGAAAATTTTTTTTAGTGCAGATTTGCAAAACTTCAAATTTGATACTATAAATGCAGAATTAAATGCAATTCTGTACAAAACTTCAAAACTCTAAAAAATTTTGCAGATTTTTTACAACAAAATCTGCAAAAATCTGCAAAAATACAGATTTTTGCAGATTTACACTTGATTACAGGTGCGTTTTATGATAGGGGCATCCATAATTTACGTTAAACCAGCACTGTATTGTATAATGATAGGGACCTTGAAGATAATACCATATGGTATTATTTCGTACTATCTTTAAGATCCTATAACAATATTAATTTAACATAAATTATGGATGCCCCCATAAATGTAATTTAAATATATATTAAACAAAAAATATTGTTAATATTATTGCAAAATTTTTTATAATACAGTTGATATTGTCTAATTGCATATACTCTCTAAATGCATAAAAAATTTAGATGGCTCTTTATGACTTAAATGCATATATTTTCTATATGCATAAAATAGTATATTGATAAAAATATATAGTTATTGGGCTAGTAGCTACAGTTATCTATCAGATTACTATGACAGAAATAAGTTCATTTTGGTTATTTTGCAGCCGGAGTTTTGATTACAGTCAATACTGTCTACCCATCAGAAACTTTTTTATGCATATATATAGACAATATATGCATTTAAGTCATAAGAACCATCTTTGTGTTAATAATTAAAAGTATAAATTTTTTATGCATTTAGAGAGTATATGCAATTAGAGAGTATATGCAATTAGACAGTATCAACTGTATTTTGCAGTGTAATAAGTAGGCCTTCGGCCTTAAAATTCTAAGAAAAATTTTATATAGGCTCGATTTTTAAAATTGTCATCGAACGAGAAAATACTACCGTTATGAGGCTTTGGGACTTTTTGATCAAATTCTGATAATTTATCGGGCTATATTCTTGAGCAAGTGCTTTATTCTTAGAACAATTTTTGTTGCACAATATCATAATAAAATTTGCTAAAATTTTCAATAAAGTCTTTTTAGTTTTTATTTTTTTTTAAATTCTTAATGGATGGAATAATAATACGCTGGAAAACAACGTTTGTATAATTAATACGTAATATAAAGCATTAAATGATAGCGATAGCAATCAATATCCATTTAGCTAATATTGCAGTTATTTCTAATATAGTAATTCTTTACGACCGTAGCGGTAATACCTAAAGTATTATCCTCATAAGAAGTGCTATTTTCATAAGAATTTTTACTACCAATTGTATTGGATAATTTGTTTTTGAACTTGTTAAATAGCTTTATCGAGGTGGGACTAATTAGAGATAGATACGGGTTCAAAAGAAGGATTCTTGCACTGAAATATAAAAACATTAAATAAAACTCTTATTATTAATTAAAAAAAATTGTATTATGTATAAGTTAAACACGTATCTTAGTAGGAATAGCATTCGTTTCAATTTCAACTTCACCTTGTAAATTGCTATCCTACAAAAACATACGATTTAATAATTTATAATTTTTCAAGTTAATTTTAGTATATACATGAGAAGAGCTAATGTTCATATCAATCGATTCCTCTTCTTGCGAATTAGGAAGTAAAGTTCCAGCACAATCGATTAATAATGATAATGCATTTTCATGTTGCTTTTCGCGCGTAAATTCGATAAGACGATTCACTTTTATGCCCGGTAATGGACATCACGATCTCCTATATTAATTCCAACCGCGATGCATATAACGAGCCTTTCGTCAAGATACCATGGAACTTTGAATAATTTATATTATAATATTAATGATAAGTATTAATTAATTTATATATGTAACTATATGGTATATAATAATAAATAAACTTTGTCTTTTGCATTTTTATTAATAATTTTAGGTAAAGAAAAGTTTATTGAAAAGTACATTGAAAATTTTCTTAATATCATATACGGGACCTTATGAACTTTCAGGTTCAGGTGGGACGGGTATGACAAGTGCATTCGAATTGCCATCTATTCCACCTTGATCATTTTTTTGGGAGCATTTCATAAAATGAATGCCACCATTAGAGTTAAATACAAGCTGTTAAT